AAAACTTCATTTTCTAAAAATAATGGTCATCAAAAAGGGGCATCGTGTAAGAAGGTGAAAGGATTGTTCCGTTTATCTTGGTAAACAGTTAGATATAATTTTTAGTGAGACAATAGAGAATTGAAGAAATGGTTATTTTTAGTATCAGAGCTTTATCTACGTTGTAGATGTTCAACAAGTGAGTTGCATTTAAAAGACGCAAGCATACGGACCCATTAGTTGAAAAGTACATCTTGTGTTTATTCTTGAATTTGCTGCAAATTGACTAACATTGTGAAACACATCGCATATTGCAGTAAATGTCATAGGCGGCATTAGGGAGAATGTCTCCTAGTTAAGAATGTTTGTTACAATTGTGGGAAGACCGAGCATTTCTCCAAGCAGTGCCCTGAGGGTCCAGTAGAAGAAATTAGAGAATCAACTTAAAAGACATGCTAGAGTCTATAAGCTTGCCAAGCATGAGGCAAAGCAGGACCCAAATGTCCTGACAGGTGACATTCTGATTTCTAAAGTACCTACATTTGTGTTAATTGTTTCTGGTGGTACATTCCTTTGTTATCCTGGACTTCATTAGTGGATTACAGTCGACATGTGAACATGTGCGCTCAACATAGATGTTTTTATCCCATCCTGAAAACATACTTAACCACGTTTTATAAAACTTCAAATCAAAATCTACAATTAATTTTAACCGTACATTTTATGGGAGATCCACAACTTTTTAACCACAGTCCAACTATTTTTATCAAAATTTTTAAAAAAATATATGATATTAATCAACATCCAACAGGGGCTTAGTGTAGACCAAATAGCTAGGGCATTGAAAGTAGAAATTGAAGGTAGGAGCATTGGGACAGATTTATTTGTTTTAAACATGTAGGGTTTCAACGTTGTTTTATGGAAGCTAACTAAGAATTGTCTTTTTTCTAAGTCACCATGTCTAAAAGTTCAAATAGTTAGATAGCAAACACATTAATTTATTTAAATTCTCCTAAGGCCTCACACGTGTATAAACACGGAACCTCTATGACACCACGTTCCCTAGCGCGCTCAACAACATAAAACATGCAAAAGGTACTTGTTTCACTTGATTTGCATATTTACGGCGGACTTGTAATAAGCAATATCTCAGGGCATTGTTAGGAATTGTACGTGTAAAGGATTTGACTTGGGATTATTCAGCAGAACTGCTATTAGTTTTGGTGTTGTGTATAACAATAGGTTTTCTGGCATATTCATTGACGAATTATCCTCTTTAGACTTGCTTATTAGCATTTTTCCTTTATGATTTCTCCTTATGTTTGTTTTGGGGAGTTGCTATTTACATCAACCGCTGTGATATATATATATCCACATTTAAAAATGTTACGACTTATACACATAATCACCACGTGGCATCTTATTTGAATGGTGGGACCAGTCCAATTGAATCAGGGTGTGATTTTCTGGCATTTGACGTGTCAACCGAGACCCTAGGTTATTCCGAGGCCCATTACCCGATGCCATCATGGTTAGCCTTTTTTCGAGGCCCTGCTCCGAGGCTCATGGCACCACCATGGACCTGAGGTTATTTAACAGCTGTTGACCAAGTGTGANTAATGTCTTGTAAGGTTAGGAAAGTCAACTTGATGGCTATGACTCGATGTCTTGGCCGAGGAGATAGTGCCACGTGTAAATTGATCCAAATGTCTTTATTTCATTTGTAACACTATAAATACCCCCACCATGTAACAAAGAAGTGGTTAATGAAATTCCAAATACTTGAAGCAATATAATTTTCTCCTCTCTCTCGTTTAACAGCGTATTTCTACTACAAATCTTATTCTTTATCGATTGGTTTCTTATACAATCGTGTTACATTTAACTTGTCGGAAGCCCGAACGGAGACGTCTCGTGTCTTTGAGCTACTCCCACGTTCAGTTTCTGGAGTCATCTTGACCGTTGATCGGCATTAACGTGTTGGATCAAGCTTATGTGTGCACGAGTGGGCCCGGCATCTGTTGCAACATTTTTTAGGGTCAACAGATTGGTACCGTCTGTGGGAAACCACACTATAACCACGAGCAACACCGTGGAGAAAGTCAGAATTTAAAAAAAAAATATTTTGGACATCCCCGTTTGAAAGAAGGATTTGTTCTTGTGAAAAGAACAAGAGGAAGCCCCCAAAGTTGAAAAAAACTCAAGGTTCAGAGCTTGGAGAAATATGAGTTCAGAAGAAGATGCCCCTCCCAGGCGAACAAGAGAAACAGATAATGAGGCCCCAGCGGCCCGACGCCGACCCCATCACCACCGTAGACGAGGTGGAAGGAGGTTGGCAACCCAGCTTACCAGAGAAATGACGACAATGGCCGCCAATATGAGGAGCATCACCAACCAAAACTTGGCAATGCAAGAATTGCTAATGCAGATGTAAGGCCAGTGAGGTCGCCCAATTCCCCCTTATGTGTCCCAAGAGCAGTATCAGCCCGAAGAGGTACAAAGTCAAAGAGCTAGCCCTCCCAAGCGTAACAGGGAAGGAAGTCCTATGGAAATAGAAGTGGGAGTTGACATTTCCTCCAACTACGCATCTGGCCGACCCATTGAGGCCCCGTTTAACATGGAGGACAACTTCCCTCCAGAATATGAGCCAGAACCCAGGCCCCAAAGGTCCGTCAGTGTATTTGACAGGTTAAGCCCAGCCGAACCGAGGCGTAGACAAAGGAGTGATGCTCCAGTGCCTAGGTACAGGCCACAGTCCCCGCCTCCTGAAAGTTGGCAACAGGAGGAAAGGCAAGAATATGCCCCCTGTGTTGTACCGTCTCGGCGTGAGCGCCAAATGAGGGAAGAGGAGGCTGGCAATCAAGCAGGACCTTCTGCACCACCTAGATGTGAAGCTGAAGCTAATTATGATTCAGATGGCCCACAAAGATTATGTGATTTGGATGACGACGATGACAACTATCTAAATTTCGAGTTCCGTGATAGTGTCGAACAGTATTCTAAAAAGTGTGCCTAGGCGACGTGTGATCAAAACGTTTTGCTTTGACAGTAATGATGGATTAAACAATTAACTATTAAGTTGACTACTTAATCCGCACTTAGGCGGTTTATTAATTTTGTTTTAATTTTTTTCTTTTTTTCAAAAACCTTTTATTTGATTTTAGTATTAACTTTTTATTTGACTTTAGTTTATTAATTTTTTTTGACTTTAATCTCAAGTTTTTTAATGATTTTATCTACACAAAAATTAAAAATAATTTTATTCGATAAAAATTTGGATAAGATTTAAGTTATGGTGCCATCTATACAACATAATTATGATTTTGAAACTAATCATATTGTTGAAAATTTCGAAAGTATGTATGAAGTTACTACAAATTTGTTAAGTATGATTTTTCTAGTTGAAAGTTAACATCATGAAAAATAATCTAATTTTTGTACTTCAAAAGCTTGAAAATTGTATAATTGATTGTAGAAATTATTAAGTAAATATAGTATTTTATAATTTTAGATGTTTAGTATGTATTATTTTAATTATTAATTAATTTTCAAAATGATTAAATATTTAATAAAATAATAAAAATAGATAATACTTTATGCTTGTTAGCGTAAAATAATAAACATATGAGTTTCGCCTATGCTCGTAAAGCTTGAAGGTTAGTTTACACGCCTAATCTCACTTTACGCTTTTTAGAAAACTGATGTAAGGTGTGTGGCAATAATTTTTGTTAAAAAAAATTAGTCAGATTATTATTGTTATTATTTATTATAACTATTATTTGATTATTAATGAATCAAAGGAAAAATAAAATTATTTCATCACACTCAAATTGAAGAACAAATCCATCAAAAAAATAAAAATAAAAATTCACGAGTAATAAGATTATTATATTTTTTAATTATTAAATAATTCGTTTGTTTTCTTCCATTTTTCTCTTTCCTTTTTCCCTTCTTAGTTTTTATCATGGAGAAAACCTTACGGCCTGCACGGATACATCGGTGTTCGAGAATTGAATGGCCGCACCCCTAGATTCCAACAATTATCCAATAATTATAGGCAGATTTAACATAATTTAGTACCTATGCTACCACTAATTCGAAGAACTTTTAATATCCTCTCTAGCCTTTTCATCAACCACATTATCATCTCCAATCGTCAATTTTCTCTGAAGATTCACCTTCATGGATTGTTCTGTGCCCGACAATTTTGGGTCTTCACAAAAGCTCATGGATTTAGCCCAACAGCTGCGCCAATACAAGTCACCTCCAACACCATTTGATGATGATGATGATGACAACGAGGAACAAAAAGTGGAGGAGAGTGCAGGAAAATTGGTTTCACAATTGGGTTTCGCTGAATCTGTGACCCCAGTTGCTCAACAGCCTCCTGAGAGGTTCAGACCTAAGAGAGCTGCAGTTCTCATCTGTCTATTTGAAGGGGATTCTGGAGAGTTGAGAGTCATTCTCACTAAGAGATCGTCAAAACTTTCCACTCATTCTGGTTAGATTTATTTGATATTGATTTTGTTTTCTACATATTTTTTAGTAATATGTCTGATTTTAGGTGACTATTATTTTATCATTTTTGTAATTTGGTTGGTTGTGAATTATCTTGTTTGTGTATATTGGGTAATTTGAAGAATTTTTTTGTGGATTTTGGACCTTTGCTGATCTTGACTATTAATAGTGAGTTTATCAAATTAACTTCGTGGGTTCTGATCAATTTAGTAAAAAGTCGGGTGTTTTTTTTTCCTTGCGACCGAGTATCATTACCACATTTTACACAAATAAAGAGAAAATACAGACACGAGAATCTACACCATGATTGTATAGGCATTTGAGCCAGTGCTGCCAGATAATGAATGATATAAATTTCGAAATATGATGAGATAAGGAGGGTATACAGGGATGTAGGTAGGAGGCTATGCTAGCCGAAAGATGGTTATCGGTGAATGCGGATAGAGTTTTATCTGTCATATCTGATTACCATCTCGACTTGAATTGGTTTTGCTTTATCCATGATAAATTGTTACATTCATTCAGGGCTTCTGTCCATTTCAACTAAAAAGTATTCTTAATGCAGGCGAAGTTTCATTGCCTGGAGGTAAGGCAGAGGAGACAGACGCCAATGATGCCGAGACAGCAACAAGGGAAGCAAAGGAAGAAATCGGGCTGGATCCTTCACTTGTAAATGTTGTCACTTGCCTTGAACCGTTTTTGTCTAAGGTATATTTGATACCGGATTTTTTTTAAGAAGAAACCTAATAAAGGAAAAGGAAATAGTACACAACCTCAAGTTGAGACCAATGATATAGATTAACACCACCGAAAGGAAAACAACCTGAATTTGAGAATAATAATGCTCGCCACTCTAGCTAGAACACCCAAGGAATACAGAAAAATCACCACCCGAGGACACTCATAAGAGATACAGAACAAGAAAACTCGCCACCTATCGGAATCCACTGAACGATGAGAGTTTTAAGAAGAAGTTATTCTTTAAACTCTAGTTCACCTTTTCCATTAGCAATAATTAGGAAATCCTGGAACAACCCTCCAAGCATGGGTAAATACATAAATTGAAAACCTTGACTAAAAACTAAATATTATAATACTTAAATACTTGAAAACATAAGCTGACTACGTGGGAAAAAACCAGAAAATCTAATGGAGTCAAAGTTTGGAAAATCGGGTAGCTCCTGCCTATTCTGAGCCCCCTCTTCAAGCTATCTTAACTTTCTCTACAAGTTGCCAAAAAATGCAAGGTTTGATGCGTTGGAAACTAGACAGAGAGAGCTTTCCAAAGCATATAGATTGATTACGGATTCTTTCTGGACACTTCACAAAATTGGTTAAAAGTTCGATGTCAATATAAATCTTCCTTTGCATATAATCTTGATCTTTTACCCGTTGAGAAAACTTGAAAGTCTGAGTAATGATGTTGTTTGGGAACAAAATTTCTTTGAAGATGCTTAAATAAAAGTTTCTTTTAGGTTAGAAATTCGGTGAAAAATTCAGCACTGTTTATGCCTATTGATAAAATCAAGATGTTTCTTAGAACTGAGGCTCCCGTGCATTTGCCTCTTCAAGAAACTATCCATGATTTTTGATAATTTTGCCAAACCCGAAATATTGTTTTATATATATAACAAAGTAAGAGATGCAATGCAGTTAACACTAAAATACAAGGACCAAACCCTTTTCCATCCTTTTTGGTTTGTTATCTTTTGAGATAAGTAATTATTATTGGATAAATAAATTGGTGAATATGAGTGAAAAATAGGCATACATTGCTTCGAGAACACGATGGCTGTTACAACCAATTGCTAACCTCCCACCCCCACGCAAAAAAAAGATGCAGAGACGAACAGCTGAATTAGTAAATGATTATAATTGCAGATGACATGCATGACAATGATTACATTTGAGAACATGGTGTTGGATGTCAATGTGCTTTACGTCTTGAGGTTTATATGGTCTGACAATTAAATCTAAATAATTTTTGCAGCATCTCCTTAGAGTAATTCCTGTTATTGGCATACTGTCCAACAAAGACTTTAATCCCTGTCCGAATGCTGCTGAGGTTGAAGATGTATTTGATGCTCCCTTGGAAATGTTTCTCAAGGTAATATCCTTGCATTTAAAAATTAGTTTTCCTTTTATTTGAGTTATTTTACTTACATCTGCAATAATCTCAAGATAAATACTAAACATCTTTATCCAGGATGAAAATCGAAGATCAGAAGAAAGAGAGTGGATGGGCGACAAGTATTTGATCCATTTTTTTGACTATGAAATGAATGAGAAAAAGTACCTGATATGGGGTTTAACTGCCGGAGTTTTGATTAGGGCAGCATCAATTGTGTATCAGAAGCCACCTGCTTTCCTGGAGCAAAATCCCAAATTCAAAGTTCCTAGGGTCGTGCAGAATGATACTATAATGCCTTAATTTGGACCAAAAATTGCTCCATCATAATCCCTGTTCTTAGCTTCTATGTGCTGGATGCTTCTGCTCAGCTTTATTCTAGTTATATGTTTTCTCAGTAGCTAATTTTATGTTGTCAAAGAATCCAAAGTTCAATTCTGGAAAGCCTTCAAGGTTAGGTGTCAATCTTCTGTCAATCTTAAGAGAAGAAGTTGCTCCATTAGTGTAAGTGTAGCAAAAATACAGAATAAAATATAGCAATTTTTACATACCATTCTTTGGTTTGTTTTACTTCATTGAAAGGTGTATTCATGAAGAAATACTACGAACTTTTGTAGACAATTTCAAACCTAATAATATATCATTATGGAAAACAAAGTAGTCACATAGTGTGAAGAAGAAGATAATATACCAAATATAATACCGATGTACAACATACCAAAGAAGGAAGTAACTTACCAAAGAAGGATGTAACTTTGAGATGTGTTGCAAAGATGACTGGTTTTTTGTCGATGTTGTCAGCCAGTACCACACATTCTCTATCAATAAATAAATCCTAAAGTGTTAGCATCATTGTTTTGAAATTCATGTCAAGAAGTATTACATCATGTGCCCATGTTTGGCTGCCATCTTTTGATTGAATCAGAAGCTTAGGAGTGCTATCAATTGCAACTGCAAGTATATCTGACCAATTGTAAAAGGATATACTTTATATTTCTACACTTTCCATATTTATATGTTTGTACGATGAGCGTATAAATGTGCAGATTTTTACTCAAATCAGCATCTGTATCCATGTATTGTTCAACCTCGTGAAAAGGTGTTAGATGATAGTTTGAAAAAACAAATTCCATGTTATCTTCATGTAGTTCTTCAACACAAGTTTCTCTTGATATTGTCCATTGGAGAGATTCAGTTGCATATTTGTAATTAGCTATATTGTTCTTTACATAAGCTTTTGAAAACTAAATCAGCATGGCAGCTGATCCGCTCTAGCAGGCCGATTCAGGATTCATTTCGCCTACTGTGGAGCCCTATCATACCTACTATCGTTTCGTTTTTTTGTTGGAGACTATGACAGGATTTAATACCAGTTGATGTCATTATCCAGAGGAGGATCGGCAATCATTTGGCTTCTCGATGTCAGTGTTGTTCTGAGATTGAGACCATCACTCATATTTTTACTGGTAGCAATATTTCAGATTACGTTTAGCAACATTTTGGGGCTTTATTTCAGATTACCATGAGTACAGGAGAGAGTGTCAGATAAAGATTTCTGAAATTGAGGTATTCTGGACAGTTTGCAAGGACTGAACACATTTGCATCATTATTCCTCTATTGATTTTTTGGTTTATTTGGACCGAAAGGAATAATAAAAAGCACATGAACATACGTATGAGCTCGAGACGTATTATTTGGAGAGTTTATCGTATAGTATCCTACCTCCATATTGGTGGACTATTCCGACTA